TCTCGCCGCCTGGCTGCTCGCCGCCTGTAGAGGCCTCCTAGATGGGGTCGGAGTAGGTGGGGTCGGAGGGCGGCGGCGCGTCGACGACACATCGCCGACGCATCGGCGATGCATCGGCGATGCGTCGGCGATGCGCCAACGATGCGTCTTCGACGTCAGCGATGAATCGGCGACGTCGACGCGAAGCACGTCGGGCTCCACATCGAGCCGCATCGGCGATGCATCGGCGATGCGGCGCGCTCCTTCGTCCCCGTCTAGTCCGACCCCACCTAGGGGGCCTAGAGCCTGGTTGCTCGCCGCCTGGCTGCTCGCCGCCTGGCTGCTCGCCGCCGGGCCGCTCGCCGCCTGGCTGCTCGCCGCCCGGCTGCTCGCCGCCGGGCTGCACGCCGCCGGGCTGATCGCCGTCGGGTTGCTCGCCGCCCGGCTGCTCGCCGCCTGCGCGGGCGCCCGAACTGGGCGCGGAAAGGACGGGCACAATGCCCAACAACAAATGTTGTCCCAAACCAACAGCGGCCGCTGTTGGGCAGGCGGCATTCTTTCTCGAAAGAACGCAGGCCGCGGCGGCGTGGACAGCCAGTCCTGTTCAAAATGAACCAAATCCGCTGTTGGGAATTGTGCCAATTCTTTCCGCGCCCACTTCGCTCGTGCAGAACCTGGCTGCTCGCCGCCGGGCTGCTCCGCAGCCGGGCCCGGCGCCGCGCCGCGCCACGAGCTGGCTGTCTTCGCCAGGGCGAATTGCGCCTCGAACCGGGCCTTCCGGAAGCCAGCCAGGAACGGGTTCCCAGCAAGGGCAGAAATGCGCTTCGGCGGAAGGCCGTACTTCTCGAGCTCGCTCTCTGGGCCCGAAAACTGCCCCAGGAGGTCCACTTCGCCGATGCTGCAGATCGCCTGCGCAATCTTCGGGACCAGGGCGGGGCGCAGCTCCTTGGCCTCGCGGAAGAGCGGCGCGAAGTGGCCGATCACCTCGTGCGTCTTCCCCTTCAAGATCCAATCGGCGAGGTATTGAAAGAAATACCTTGACTCAACGGACAGCTCATCAGCAAACGATTTCTCCGAATCCCTCTTCATGTGCTCGGCCTTCTGTTTTTTCAAGTAGCCAACGTACATCTTCGCCCGGAAATGGGCCGTGTCCGTCTCTCCTGGCACGTAGAAGCGGCCGGCCTCGCAAGCCTTCTGGCAGTCCAACCGGCGGGTCTTGATGGACACGTCGTCGTTGTCCTCGCTGCTGACGTGCTCGGCCAGAGTCTCCCTCCGCTTCCGCTCGGGCGCCGCCTCCGCCCCCCCCGGCGCCATGCCCGACGAAGCCGCTGCCAGAGCCGCCGGGGCCGGTGCCATGCCCTGCGGGGCCGCCGCTGGGCCGGACCCTGCGGCGACTTCGGCGCCGCAGCTCTGCCCCGAAGCATGGGCGTCGCCATCCTCGAGGCGCGGTTTCTTCGAGCCCCTGTCCTTTGTAGCTTTCCAACCGATCGTGCGCCTGATGGCCCCGCGCATGCACGGCCCGGTGGGGGCGTGAGCATCCAACACCCACACCCTGTCGTGGTCGACCCCCTGGGCCTCGCTGGGTCCGAGAAGCCAAAAGCTGACTTTTTTGTCCTTCCCCACATCCGGGAAAGCCTCTTTCTGCACCAGCCACACCTCCCGTTCTTCTTTGACGAACTGCGTC